CATACATTTGTGTGGGACAGAGCTGCAGTTCTATGAGGTAATATAGGTACGTGGAGAGAGACAAGTTGATACTTTGTCCTGGAAGCGTAATCACTAAGTAAAACTGTATCATTCTGTAATTGCTTTCAAATAAATTTACTCTATGATAGAACTGTAGCCTGCCATTTAGGCCAAGTTCCGCTGTTATATCAATGGCAATGATAACTTCATTCTGAAAAGTGCGTTTACAAACAGTAGAGAACGTTCACACTGTTTTATTGAAAGGTGATTTACTCCTTCAGAAGAATCTTCAAGTAAAATAATAATTGATAACTATTGTTTCATTTTAATTATACGCCAATACATCCCAATGCTGTTCCTGTATCTCCTCATTCAAAAAATTAATAATGACAGGTGAACACGCAGTTGAAAGTGTGCTAGAGTGTAGATTAAAATTCATAAATGGAACCGGGTGATTAAAAACAGTGTGAAATGGAGGTAAATACGATTGATTTTGATGGAAAGGAAATTTGAGTACCCAACGAAGTGATTTAACCAGGCTGTTGGAGACAAGTTGAGACCTAGAAAAGTATTTGGCTTTGCAAAGAAATGTTGTGGTTTACAGTCGACCACAAAAAGATACACTTGTTTTGTCTTCATTACGTTAACAGTAACACAACTTTCAAAAATGCTCACTAATAATGATATTCTTTCTGATAATCCATCTTTGTCAGCTTCTACAGTTACATATACATAACAGCAGTGAATGAATTAGTGTTATTACAACATACGTTGTTGAATAATATCGATCAATAATGATAATAATGTCAATGGATTACAGTTCGGTAGAGTCAACATAACAATACACGCTGAATATCAGAAAAAATTAGGTAGGATAATAATAAGGCAAGCTCGTATACCATCCCGCCAGTGAGACCTGATTCAATGGTCTGTGATTTCTAAGTTCTACCAATTCGTGATTTAGAGTGCAAACGATGATTCCCAAACTAGCTGGATGAAACAGTTGTCCAATACTCCTGGTTTTCAGTGGTTGTCTTACTGATATCAATCGTGATCAACTCGTAAAAACAAAACCAATACTTACAAACCAACTATAGAAGATAATAATAATAGAAATTCATGAATTTATAGTTTCGACTGAAGGCCGGCCAGCGTAGTAGTAGTAGTGGCTGGACTTACTTCTTCTTCCCATAGAGCACTAGTTGTTTAAGGCAAATCGCTATAGCTTCTGCTGTTTGGAGGATGCGCACTCTGGATATTTTTCGCAAATTATTTTATACTCCGTAGATGATAGAAAAGGATTCTTCAATGCTGTTTTTGTGTCTGGTTTGGACAAAGTGGTCTAATATCGAACTGTTGATGGTCTTCACTACACCTTTACTTAGCCATACTGGTGGATGTTCCCGAGCATGGGAAATCAAATCTTTAGTGCAATGGCCAATATAACTCGCTCCACCACAAGCCAATTTGAATTGGTACATACAATTAGAAGTGGCTAGTCTAGTCATGTTTTCTACGCGGCACATAGTGATTCCTCTAATACAAGATGGATTACTCAGACTAGCTAGTCCAGTAAATGCTATTGTAATTCACGGGAAACAACCAGTGTTTTGTGTGCGAAAGCAGCAAGTGCAGCCGTTACTACTACTGCCCTGGCTGGCATTCATTGGGTAATATAAATTCAAGCATTTGTGTTATTATCTTTCCTAATTTTTCTGATATTCAGCGTGTATTGTTACGCTGATGCTATCGAACTGTAATCCATTGATATTTTTATTATTATTATTGATTCGATATTATTCAAACAATGGTTATGTTATTAATAGCACCAATTCATTCACCTGATGAAGAGTAGGTTATCGAGAAGGATTTTCTTCGTCCATTAGCCATTCTTTTGAAAGATCTCAATGGCCTTTTTTAACCAGTTAACAATAGACTTATCAAAAGAATATTCTCCTTTCTTATTGGTCGTAACAACAGTTTTACTGGCTTTTAATTGACACATAGTTGGAACACCAGCCTACTTTAATTCATCTAGCACGCCTAGCAGCCCCGCTGACGAGTTAGGAGATAATATTTGTTGATTCTGATGTCAAATATTCTAAAACATCTGACAACTAAACGCATAATCTTAGACATAGTTCACTCTTGATTTTAAACATACTATTTATATTATTATTTGTCAAAGTTAATCCATTTCAAACCAGTTTTATGAAAACTTTATGACCAGAAATATCTAGAAAGATAGTAACGAGATGAATTTACTCATCTCTTCTCGATTTTGTAACCCTGTTTCAGAACTGACAAGTTAACATCTGAAGTTTATTAAATTTAAGTGAACGATGAAAGCGAAGATACATTGCAACTGAAAAATAATATGTTTTTTTGCCTTAGCTTCCGACTAAGATCGGTTGATAAAATATGCGATATGATCGTTTTATGCATTCCATATGGAACTTTATGTCTTCAAAACTACAGTAGCAACGGTGCTGTTTAATACGTGTTTAAGTTGATAGTTTCATGCCATTGTTGCTTTGTTTCGGGGCTTACTGCCAGCTAAGTGAAGTAAAGGAATGTACTGGTCAAGAATGGGATAAGTGTGAGGACTAGATGCACGATATTGGTTATCTTCCATCACATAACATCACACTCCTACTGGAAATTACTCGTGAGTATGAATACCTCATGGATAAAGTGTATGACTACAGCAGCACTTGGTGATGAGGTCCAGTATGCATGAAATCTAGGTCGTTAGATTCTTACCAGCTTCCTTCAGCCACCTGACCTCGTGAAATGACCGTCTATCAAACTACTCTCTGATTTGAATTGAAAATATAAGCAGAATAAGAATTAAATTGGTGGATGGTAACTAGCAGTGGAATCCAGGATACTCATTTAGTCCTATTTGGGACTCAACAGATGGATGCACCTGCAGCCTCCAGTGAGTGATGATGTTCGCAGCGAGGCTCAAAACCAGTGCCCATAGTTTCAAACGCCAAAGCGTTATCCACTGGACCACTTGGACCACGAGAGCCACCTCTTGTGCAACGGGTCATATTAATTATTTAATTCAAGTTTAGATTTTCCCGTCGACTGATTCGACCGAAGTGCTCAGTCTCAGGTTGACATGAGGGTTGGCAAAAGAAGCCGAAATGTAAGCAGAATAGATCAACTGATAGTTCCTAGTCCTCTTTTTGAAGGACAAAACGTAGGCATTCTATTTCACAATAACTCGTCACATTTCAACCCGAACATGTGACTTATGAACGATTATTTTACCAGAATGAAATGCTTTATATCCGTCATTGTGAAAATTATTCATTGACGATAATTTCTAGTGAAAGTAAATTTTGACAACTAATAGCATACGTTTTCAGTTATTTATAATTAATGGCTAGATTTCGCTTCATTTTCGTAGTCTAATGTGTATTCTCCATGAATTCAGTTCACATACTGAAGTTATGACGCTTAAAATCACTTAAGGGAGTGAGAAATGCACGCATTCCCTGAATTGGGACATAACTCCTAATCATGAACACGAGATAATGCAATACGAAAAACCCATAGACCTAAATTTAATGACTACATCTTCGTGATTATTTGCTTTTTTGAATGTAAAATAAATGCAGAAAAAAAATATTGCCCCTAGGTCTTTTCTACTATTCACGTACTAATGAATACCGTCTCATTCTGAAAAAATATGCGAATAATCTTAAACATGAAGTAATTGTGATAAACTTGAATGTGGTTATCACATGACATCTCTAAACGTTTAACATTTTTTCTCGTTCTATTTTGTGAATGGAACTCATCCTGGCTCACGCTTAGAGGAAGTTTTACACCAAGACATTATATACCAAGCCATTGGCATATTTTCAGTACGGAATCTATCATTAACTGACCTTAGTTAGACAAGCACTGACAATCATGGACACTTGTTTCGTCCCCGTATGCGGCACTGCAACAGTGCTCACTCAGTAATCCACCAGAGATGGAACTGAACAACTTCAGGTAATGAAACCATTCAGATAGTCGACTGGAATCCAATGACTTGTGAACTCTAACTTCTGCGAAACCTATCACCGGTTACTACTTGTCAGTAGGAAATTAGTAAATCCACACTGCAGCTGTCCTTTTATTTTTCTGGGTGCACACGGATGATGAGTCTAAGATTAAGACGAAACAGCTGTTCACTACTGTTTGTTTTCTAAAGAATCCCTTCATAACGTCCATTCGTGATGAAGACTACAATGAAATTAATCGAAGTTTCCTAAAATTAAAAATTCAAAGACAATTTCGTGAATTCAGTGAAGGCCATACAGTCGTATTTATATTTACCAAAAATGTATAGTAGTCTATTATTGAGTAATAGGAAGGGTGACATAATTGATATAATTACTCAGAAGTGGCTTTAGAAGTAATAAATAAAAGTTGTAAATTGTGTAGTACTCAGCGGCACAAATGAAGAAAGCGTTAGAAATTTGATATGGTTAAAATTTTAATTGAGTAGTGAGAAGAAAGGTAGTTTAGTGTCCATTTAACAAGTATGAAGAGGATGTGAAAATGTACAAAATGATCATATGAGAGTGATAATAGTGAATTAATTGTTAAAGTGAAAGCAAACTAAAAGTGTAATAAAACATAAAATCTTCTTTTCAAGGAACGACTAATAAAGAGGTTAAGACCATGGTAGAATAAGCGACTTGACAAACTTTCTCTGTATACAGAGTTCGTGGTTGTATTAACGAACTGCCAACATTTCCGCCATACCCAAATGCTAAAACCTGGTGCTTTTTGTACCATTTGGCCTCACCTTGAGAACATTCGTGAAAGACAACTCTGGTGGAGCTATGTGGCTTGACTTCACCAAGTGCTAGAGAATTGAGCTAGTAAATGCCTTGCATTGTCCTTTTGCTAACCATGCCGGATTTTCATAGTTGTTCTAATGTCTGTAAGAGTTCACTAAGTATGCATTTTTGTCATTTGTCTTTTGTTTTTAGATTCTGATGAAAATTCTTTCAATTATTCTGACGTAGAAATGGAAGAATGGGATAACAGCACCTTAGAAGAGGATAATTCACACATTGATAGTACAGCTGAACACTTTGACTTATCAGTCAGTCCATCATCTTTAACAAATTTAACAAAGCAAAAAGTTGATATCAATTTGGATTCTAATACAAATTTACGATTTTTAAAATATTTTGTCGGTGAAACAATTCGTATGCGTTGTATTATACCTGATGGACCATATGTGGTAAGTTGATATTCATAATATATGGTGAAATAATAATGTGCCTCGGATATTATGTTGATTAGGATCTATTGAGTTTAACCTGATTAGATAATAACTGAGAGAATATAATGCAGAGAAATTATCGTTTTCATCGCGATGTAAAAATTAATGCCCATTCCTACGTTAAGGTGGGACAGAGATGCGAATCTAATTAGTAGTAGGGAAGTTTGATCAGTGAACCTTTTGTCTTGAAATCGACTCAGAATAAATGCATTAGGGTCGCCACAACACTAGTTCCAGAAACAGTACTACCAATGGATAAGAAATAATAGAAGTATTCAAACAGTCTCTAGTAGTTAAAGGTCATTAGTGAATAATATCTTGTCACTTTGCATATTTTGGGCTCATAAGCGACCTGGGCAGAATCGGATCCTCCTGTTTGAGTGTTTTTATGTTGCTAGGAGTTCATGGCTTCTTCCAGGTAAGTCCTACTCATTGGCTTCATGTGGAAGGGTTGTCAGTCTCAAAAGTGAAAGGATGAAGCCTGTCTACATAGTGGAACTAGAAAACGCTGACTGAAAACTTTTAGAACTTAAGGGCTCCAGAATCCTTACAGGTCGAAAGGCATATATGAACCTGTTTCCATCACTGGCAACAACAGGAAAGCGGTTCTCAACTCCACTTTACTGCCTAGGTGATCGTATTTCTACTCAAAGGCTACAGGCTGTCTTCATGAGACAATCACTTGATTAAGCTAGATCATCCAGGTAGTATCGCAAGAACCAATGAGATAGTGAGTGACGTATCTTATAGCTTCCTTAAAGTACTATGTAAATGTCTTAATAATAATATTAGGAATAAAATACTGCATTTTTAATTAACTGAAGTTATTCAATGAACGTAAAAATTCTCTTGGTATCCGTTTTTAGTGCACTACTTCACTGCATTTTGTTACAGCCCACCTATCTGACGGGGTAAAGTCATAAAGACTGTAGAATATCCCTTCACACCGTCCACACAACTCATATCTTATGTAATAGTTAACAATTTCTTCACAAGTAGAGATTGTTTTTTTGAATCAGTACGTCTGCAAGTGAAACATAAGGCTTCAGAGCCGAATCGCTAACCTTGAACTTAACTTTTTGTCTTTTACAAAGTAAGTGACGTTAAGGAGCACGCCAGCTGGAAGTAGAGCTGCGTATGATTGAAGAGTATTCTGCCATTTAAACACCAACGGATTAGATGGTATTAGATGGTTGCAAGCGATCGGTAGGAGGCCTTGAGCCTACGTTGCGTGCTAGTCGGCATTCACCAGTCAGTAAGGTATTTGTGCAACCGTGAAGGAATTTATGTCCTTATTCTAAGATTCGAACCCGCGTCACCCGGTGAGTACTGTAGTCAGAAATGTTGCCACTGAGCTATTCGGGCTGGCGACTGACCTCCTCTGGTGGAACTGAATTGGACACTTTTGATTGGACATTATTCGGTAACTAGTGTGATGTGTCTAATCCTTTGTTTAATGTAGACTGAATTCTGTCAGTCACGTTGCAGAAGCGCCTTGTTGATGAATGTCAACTAGCACTCAACCTAAGTCCAAGGCTTCCTGTTACCGATTGTCCCCAACCATCTTATATCAACAATTCACAGTGCACCATGATGGTGAGCCACCTAGTGTCACAGTGGCCACATTGCAAACTTGACTGACTGATAGAATTCAGTCTGCACCAAACAAAGGACTAAACACAATACACTAGTTACTGACTAGTGTCCATTCAAAAGCATTGGATGATAGTTTGAAATTGTTCTCCCATTTCGATAGAGTACAATTCCTGAAATTATTCCTTATCTGTGTATATTTGTTGTCATTATCATTGTCAATAAAATATTTTAGATTTTAATTTTACAGGTCAATGCACTGACCTTTTTTTCTTGTAAGGTCAAATAGACAAATTGATGTAACAAGAGAATGTAACAAACATTTAAGTTGTTTGAAAATGAATTCTTGAAATAATTCGACAGTAAAAAATTAGAAACGTTATTTGCACTCATTTCAAAAGGTTTATATTGTCACTTGTTTCAAATTGTTTCTCCAGAGCAAAACATCTACATGAGGTATGCTGAGGTTAAACTGTCAGTATATATATGTATATATATATATATACATATATATCCCGGATAAACTGCTTGCATTGTACCAGTTAAACTGATGGCACTTCTATTTGATTTTCAGATCCAGTTTTAGAGTGTAAACATAAAAAGCGATCAGTTAATGAGACAAAGTAACGTTTCTATAAAATTCAGTTACTCATTAAATTTTAAAAAAATATTATCACTGACCGTTTCTAACTAACTCCTAAGATTTCTCATTTCATGATACAATAATTTTGTCTGATACTGGTTATCTTCGTATAATAATGGAGTTCCAATCTATCCTGTTTTGCATCATTAGTCAAGAGAGTTTATAATGACAGTTAAATCTGTAACTAAACGTCATCGACTTAGAAAAGCTTTTCGATATTGTCAGTCGAGAAAAAATTTGGAAAGTGCTGAAATACTTTGGTTGGATGTATTCCTTAACGTCTCTTGTGGAACATAGGGCTTCAAGCTGCAGGCTTGAAGTTTCGATAGCAGTTGTGTTTATTTTTACGGGATGAGGTTGCTAGTCCCATGCCCAACCTTTCTTCTTGACCAGTATTATTAGTGGCTTAGCGAGGTTTGGGAGTACGTTAGCCGGGGATCAAACCCCGAACCACATGAGTGACTGGCGACCGCTCTAACTCTATGCCACCAATGCACACTCAAATAATTTGCAGAGCCTAAACACTTTATCAACAGCAGTCAATAACTTCATGATGATGCCGAATGAGAAGTTATTCACAATGGAAGACACAGAGAATGGGAGTAAGATTAGGTTGCATTGCTGTCACTGATGATTCTTTCGATTACGATGTAGTGGATGGACTGTAGAGACAGAGAGATATACTCAGAGAACTAGACTTCGCAAAGAAATTACATTACATGTAGCAGAAAGTCAAAGATTCATTAGTTTAAAAAATAAACAGTGGGGACAAGGCGAACATTGAGAATGCAGACGTGATGAAGCTGGCCATGCAACATTACAGAACACCAATCATCCTCAGTGTGAAAAATCTGAAGAAAGCCGGCTCATTCACAAACTCACCCCAGAAGCATCGTCCCGACTGCAGTTGAGGGGCAAAGTATGAGCATGTAGACGGCAAGGTAGTCTTGGTAATGCAAGACAAGCCTTCATAACTACCGAATCTATGTGGACCTCTGAAGTCTCCATCACACTGAACGACAACTGAATTTTCAACACTTCTGTCAAACGATTCAGTGCTTCTGCTTGCGACAGACACTTTACCTGTGTGTCGACTAGAATATTTCCAACAGACTGCTGCAAACGTTCATCAGCGCCTGCCTTCAGTTGATGTTCAAGACAGCCGGCCACCATAAACAAGCAACTACGAACCCTGGTAAAGAACCAGCCAGTAACTTATTAAACATCCTATATATATGGATGCAGAAATATAAATGGGTTCGGTACTGTCTAAGAAGATCGTTGAGTAGACTGTGAAGCTATGAGTCAGACATTGGTCCTTAAATGACAATGAGTGGATCATGTTAGCAGAAAATAAAGGATTGTTTACGGTCAAGGTATAGTTTAATTGAGGGTGACAGCCGAAAACAGAGTAGAATATAAGCGTTCTCATGAAGTCCTGTATTCCATTTACAAAGCAAAGAAGCAATCACAATGGTGTCTACCGTAGATGTGTCAAATTCTGAATATTTATTAATTTAATAAAACTGTTGACTGTCAAATGATTATGAATAATCAATCTTAGCTGTATTAGCATTGTAGGGAATTTTGTTTGACTGGTGGGAGGATTTCATCATAAGCTGATATCAGTTAGAGAACCATTGGAAAACCTGCAGCGAGTACTGGAAAGCTGTCTCCTGTGCCCTAGTTTGAATCTCTTCAGCACTACACACACGCTGGAATGGTCACAGCCCAGGACCTTCTGGTTACAAGGTCAGCTTGCTCGCAGACCATTGAGCTAGTGGGACCCGATGTAATGACCAACCAATGAATTCGAACTTCTGCAGATTCATGGGATAGCGCAACCACTTGGTCACGTCTTCCCATTAGAAACCAAGATTAACTTGCTGAATTAGGCCAGTCGCTGATGAGCATCAGAATAATTTTCAAGCAACGGACCCTATTTAGGCAGTAAACCTGGGGTTCTACTGGGAGGCCGTGATCACTAGGGTATAGCACGTTCAAGGTGAGGCAGTAACTCACCGAAGAAGACATTGTGAAGTGGTTGCGCTATCTCATGAATTGGCAGAAGTAAGAGTTCATGGGTTGGCCACTGGATCAGGCCTCAGTTGCTTAGTGGCCTTGTAACCAGAAGGTTCCGGGTTCGAACCCTGGAGGTTGGTGCGTACCACTGAAGAGTTTCAAACTAGGCTGACTAAACAGCTGGCTATCCAGTACTCCCTACAGGTTTTCCAATGGTTCTCTAACTGATGTCAGCTCATGGTGAAACCTTCCATTCAGTCTTATCTGTAATCACAAACATCTGTTACATATAATTTTGGATAGATGCGCAGCTTTACAGCTGACATTTAATTCACTGTTTTCTTTTGAAGGATTATGTTTGAAGTCAAGTAAGGTTACACTGAACCGACATATTCGTAATTCATATAAACATTAAATAACAAGTCAATAAGTATAACATAACTAGATATTTTTCTATGAACAGATATTGTGGCAAATGTATGCGAAAGACAACAAATTTCTTCAAAATGTGGCAGTAATTACTATATTTATGGCGTCTAAAAACAGCTATTAAAATGGTTGGTAATATCCAGAAAGACAGTTTTGTCACTTCGGATGTTCTCATGTGGCAGTGCTAAAAGTTGGAATGTCACGTAGTTGTTACAAACCAGTGGCTTAGGGACTAAGTCTTGGACGTTAAAAGTGGTGAGTCATGGATTCCAGTTTCAGTGGGGACAATATCACTAATTACCGTGCAGGTTTATCCAGCTAACAAGCCAAAACTGGGGCAAAATCTGCATTCTGAATTCTTCTTTTGCATCCCACAAATCAAATGACAGCATAATTGTACGAAAATATTCGTCAACTACTCCTGAAGATTTTGTTTATTTTGTTGTTGTTAATTTGTAGGTAATATGGAATAAAATTGGTATGGAGTATCCGCTGACAATTGGTAAACGAAGATTTATACCAGACAATAGAATCAGTGTAAAATATAAGCCACCAGATAGATGGAGACTGCGCATCACAAATGCCAGGTTGACTGACAGTGGTGTATATACATGTACGATGAAAGCAATACACAAAGAAGAAGAAGAAGTAGAGGACCATTCAACTCAGTCAAATGATAATAAACGCTCTTGTCACAAAATGAATGATAATAATAACAGTCAAGATGTATCAGAAAATTCAACGCTAAGACTAAGTAATCCTGACTATTACATAACCGTAGGTAAGTGCATTTCGATTCTTATTTTGTCTAATTTTGCCTTTTCCCTTGATCGATAATGTTGGATCTAAATCGCGGTCTTCGTTGACATGCCAACTTGTAGTATATAGGCTTCTAGGATGTCTGATAAATAACGTGATGCCAATGGTGAATAGTGAATTCTATAGTGGATGGTGTATACTGTAGACAAAAAAGTGCCTGAGAGCTGATGTTCAAACTTATACTTACTTTGAATACTGACCATTTTAAGTGTATAAAACGCCTAAAGGGAGGAAAACACCGCTGATGTTAAATTAACCTTTGAATACAAAAAATCAGTGACATACAGGAGTTGAAAAGAAACTTATGATGGTTTGATGTGAAGTGGAATCGAACTCACCATCTGAAAGTCGAATGGTTTCAAGGGAAATTTCGACGTGGAGACCTAAGTTGTTCAGACCATAATGTGTGATCATCTCAGTACCTTAAATGGTAGTCAAGATAGCGAAGATCACTGGATGGCAATATATACTACAGAATGACTGAAATGAATATATGTGTGCCACTCACAGTAGCAGTTTTGATTGTGCTTCTTAGAAATACTGTGGGAATCTAAACACTGGAGCGCCGTTTCGTGCACCTGGCTTCAAACCTACATTCAACTTTCCGTCTTTTTTATACTTACTAACTAGAATAAATATAGGCGAGGATTACCACTGTGTCTTCCAGGAGTCGAACACGGACCTTTCATATAGTTGACCACTGATCTTCTACAATACCAAAATGTTTTCATTCTTTTACTTAGTATTCAAGTGTTAGCATGAAGCAGTTTAGTTGGTTCCAGGATGTCATCATGAACTGATATTGGTCAGAGGACGATTAGGAAACCTGACAGTACCGGACTTCTGTTTCGTCATAGTTTGAGACTCCTCAGCACTATGCACCCACTGATGTTTGAACCCAGGACCTTCTGGTTATAAGGCGAGCTCGTAGACCATTAAGCCACTGGGACCTGATCCTATGGTCCATGAATTACAACATCTGCCAATTCATGATATGACACAACCACGAGCGAATGTCTTCGGCGACCTGCTGTATTCCACTAGATCCCAATTAATACCTACCTCAATATGGCCATTCGCTAGCGAGCATCAGACTGATATTCAAGTGTTGGTTTGTAGGTATTTAGTTGATTGGTTACAGGATTTCATCATGAGCTGACATTGGTTAGAGGACCATTGGTATCACTTAGTAACTAAAATGGCACCTGTAGCTACTGAAACTCACAGATTTGCTGAATTATTTACCCGTAGACAAGTTGTACCGTTTCAAATCATCTCATCTGGCTTGATCAATGATTTCCCGATACTCAGATCAATCAGTAGTGACAAATACCTAATATTAGGCCTTCGTTCATCCGATTGTTTTCAAATGACTTGTTGTTTTATATAAAGTCAAATTAACAGTTCATGATTAAATACCCTTTCAGCTCGATCTTATGAGTTTGTATCTCTTCAAGGCTTTAGATTTTGTTGTTATTGGTGATAGGATTCTAAAACATTTTATAACGATTTATTTGAAGAAGCTTTCAGACCATTTTTCTTGAAATTGGTCACTTTTGTTATTTTTACCCCATTGAGTGATAGGGTGAGTCATCTTTAATTGAAACAAAAAGATTTTCTAAACAAGACAGAAGATGACGTATTGAAATTGCATACTTTGTTATCGCTTAGACGATGCACAATTCCCCATTGTGCAATCCCTGTAGGCAGTGACCCTCATGTCTGTCCTTTCACATTTCTGAAAACAGACCAATGATTGTGAGACTTAACGGCTCACTAGCATCAAAATAGTGCTATTGTGCACCGTCTATTGGACAATGATTCTGTTGTGGACAGTCTGAAGGCAGTTAAAGTAATCAGCAGACGAAAGAAGCCCGGTCTGCGACGTTTGCTGATGTCAGCGCCTTCGAACGAGATAGAGAGAAGTCTCCCAACGTCTTTCTGATAACGAAGTATACAATTTTATTATGCCGTCTTCTATGTTCTTTAGGAGATCTCACGGTTCCTATTAAGCATAAATTAACCATGCCCCTTTATTCTGCTTCTTCATAAAAACGTATTTTCCGTAGTTAAACTATTTCTTATTTAAAAATAGGAATCAGCGACGCAAACTTTCCTTTATTCTCTATTATGCTCAGGGACTCCAAAAAGGTGATTTATGTATCATAATACTGTTGCTGCATGCAATATTTTTAGATCGGTCATTTAGAGGTTATACTAATCAAAATACTAATGTTCTTGAATAGTGACAAATTGTCCCAAGTTTTGTTTTCGCAAAATATCCTGTTCCATCGAAATAAATACAACTTCGAGTAGCGGTATCATTTGTTTTCTTTTAATCAATCAAATATGTCCAAGAAATAGTTTTAATTTCCCTCAGGTGTCTTTTTTTAAATCATCTAAACCTATGAATATTCATATTGGCCGTATTTCTGACAAGAAAATATGACAGTGATGGATATTGAGTAGCGAAACGTACAAGCATAAATCAGCTGACTACCCATAGTATTAGTAAACACATAATGTACACATCATTGCTATTTTTAATTTAACTTTGCGCTTCCCACTGATCAATTATGAGGGACTAAAATGCTTGATTTCTATTGAAGTGCTGGTTAAATTGACCAAGCAGATAATGGTTTGGTATTTGAAATGGTGCATGCTTCGTGGGAGTCTCAGTAAGGATACCCTCACTCACTGCGGATTGCAGGCACCAAATAGGATGAAGTGTGCATCCACGATTCCACTGATAGTCACCACTGGCTAAAATAACTTCGAATACTCAAAGCAAAACCTAGTACGTACATTAAGTTCAAGGATTAAAAAAAGCTGTTCGGAAGACACGATAGAGAAGGATCTAAGACCCATTACGTGAAACCCTACTAGAGAACTGGCATCCACCAGGATTCACCAACAAAGATTACAACTGTTTCGAAAAGAACTCGCTTCGAAGATGACATCGAAGTTGAACTTTTTAGAAACTGCCTTTCTAAATGTCTGAAGAAGAAATTTCAAGCAACCATCTTACATATGACGTTCTCCAGCAGACAGTTAATCCAGTCTAACGCTAGGAATAAGAAACCGCTTTTGGCCTCTTCAGTGTGTACTTATCAATTGACTTGCTCGTATGGAGCAGAGTATGTCAGCCATACGCAGCGTTCATTCCGCAAATGCATCCTGGAACACTGTTCATACTAGCTAGCCAGAGGAGAAAAGAAGAATACTAGCAGCAACATCCTCGAACACCCTGTCCACTCTGGACATTGAGCATCCCTGCAGAAATGCTACACAGAGTCCCTCAATGTCGTACAAACGGACTTCAAATACGCCATCTATACACAGCTGAATCATTAGCTATTCGGTATCTGAAACCGGACCTCTGCATTCGAAAGCACCAAATACATTCCATCGCCCTACGATGCTCAGAGTAACGTTCTCACCATAATTCTGCTTCCTATTATTATGTTAATTTATTATTATTTTTATTCTCATCATCCTCATTTTATTATCACTCTACTACTGTTTATTAATAACATAGCGTTTTCACACAGATTTTATATAAAAACACTTTATCGTCTCTCCACTAGTTCTTCTTCACTCTACATTGTCACATTGAATAAGTGATTTCCTCACATTTATTATGTCACGCCAACTTCTGTCGCCTTATCTTATTCCCCGTTAGTCACCCGACCTAGGTTACACCTTACATTACGTAATACGTTCTTCGGGGACAAATTTTGCCAGTATCTAATTAGTTATCTTGTGATTTTTTTGTTAAATATATTTACGATTATTGTACAACAGTTTATGAAAACAAATCGTCAGTAAGAAAATTTTCTTCGCTTTGTTTACGTCTTTTTCTTACGACTCAGCGTTAATTGTTTTGAATTCATCTGTAAAATGCAGTAAACTTGTTCCGGTATAAAAATCCTCTGAACTCCATTTTTCTTAAAGTCACTGCCTTACAAAACAGTGACTATTCTTATTAGATTAATGAATACTATGTCACATTCTAGGATGCCGATATCCCTAAGAATGTAATCAGCTGAATGTTTATGCCTTTATGTTTTAAATGCGTTTTCAGTCAATATGTGTAAGCTCATTCACCATTCTTTTATTCTCTCTCTATTTATCTCTCATTGTTGTTAAAAGTTGAGCCGGAGGTCAATGAACACAAACAAACGGACGCACCACCTCCTGTGGTACCGAAGACTTTGACAAAAAATCCAAGTGAGTTTTTGTGTGCTTTTGGTACTTTTTTCAGTTTTATTGTTTTGTTCACAATAAACCTGTTTCAGACTTTGAATGTATAATGAAACGAGTCGTAAACATTAATGTTGGTAAAACGTTTGAGCACTGTAAACTAGATCAAATAAAGTATAATTATATTTCAATAGTTTATACAAAATGATAAGTTTTGTTCTTAGTAATATTTCAAGCGACTCAATAAAATTCACCATGGAAACAGTGAATACAATTGTGGAACTGCTATGTTAGACTGCAAAATACAAAGAGTAAAAGATGGTAGCATAAAAACGACGATACATAGAAAAACTACACACTCTGGAAGATTCCTTGATTATCACTTAGCTCATCCAATCACGGTAAAACGAGGATTAATACAAGGTCTTGCAGATAGAATACGCAGACTTACAACAACACCAGAGGATCAGCGTAAAGAAATAAACGTCCTATCCAAAATGTTACTCGACAGCAACTACCCAAAAGAATTTATCAAATATAATATAAAGAAGAGAAAAAAGAGGGTAAATCTGGAGAATGACAGAATGGAAAAATGCAAACAAACAGTCACAATACAATACAAAAATAGTTTATCAGAGGCAATTCGAAGAAACCTCAAAAATATTGGGATTTGCATGACGTTCAAATCGACGAATCTAATTAAAAATAAGATAAATCAGCTGAAAGATCCCATAAAAATGATGGATAAAAACAATGTGGTTTGCAAACAGATATCTTGTGTCGAGTGTCAGACTAAATATGTGGGTCAAACGTCTAGATCACTCAAAATAAGAGTGAATCTACATAAAAGCCCAACTAAAGGTCGACAAACAGAAACACAAGCTTACAAGAATCCAGACAGAAGATTCATCGGTAGCTGCACATGCATGGGACAAAAACAACATTATCGATTGGAACTAAAATGAACAAATGGAAAGAGAGACTTATAACAGAATCTATATTCATTAAGGTCACACCGGATACATGTAACAAGGGTGACTCAGTAGAACAACTGTCAACGACCTGGAATATAATTCTGGATACACAAAAATGAATGAACAAAAAATGAATATATATGAGTACAAATCATAAACGTGTGAATTAAAAAACAAAACAATTCCAACGGTGGTGTGAACACGGGCAGTAATTTTGCTCGAAATATTACCAATAACAAAACTTATCATTGTGTGTAAACTATTGAATTATAATTATACTTCATCTAAAGTTGTAAACATCTGATGGCCCATACTGCTGATTGGCTGAGATGAGTAGTGTTTTGGTATCCATCTCAATCAGTAGTACAAAGCGTGAATTAGAGTTATATTTAGCAGTTGTCTACACACAATGAAAAGTTTATTATTGCGGTAATATTTTCAGCAAAATTACCACTCGTGATCACAACAAATGGAGGAATTATTTTCTAGTTCACTGCATATATATATACACATATATAGTTCATTTTTATGGATTGAAAAGTACATTTCAGTCTGTGAACAGTTGTACTGAGTCACCTTTGTTACACGTATTCAGGGGTAACCTTAGTGAATATAGATTCTAAAATCAATCTCTTTCCACTTTTCTTTCTTTCATAAATTACTGTACGCTTGCATTTTAGTGAGATGACGTTTAGTTAGACGTTGATATTCGTTCACTCCTATTTTGAGTAATCTATGTATACAGTAAAAGTCTGTTCAGCTACCCACTACACCGCCTTACTCTCATGGCCTTAATCAGTCTGTGCTAAAGTTTTGGTTCCACTTATTTTTCATCCTGTTTATTTGATTAGTATACCTTTCATTTATTACGTCGACTGTTATTATTATTATAATCACATTGAACTGTCCCCGGTATTACTTCACCTGTCGCACTTGTCATTCTGAATAAAATCCTTTTACAATTTCAAAATTCTATGTCATTCAAATTTCACACCATATAATGTAACCTTTTTATTTCGCTAAAATCACTATAATTTTACACCCCGTTTCGAACATCTAGACATTTGACACACATATTTAACGTGGTAAGAATTCCATTATTTTTAAGGCTTCTTCAAACTGTCTTTGGTAAAGCAGTGTGACCGTACTTTGCGATTCTCTCTCTTGTCATTCTCGGCTTTTACCTCCTTTCGTCTCCTCTTCGTATTATCTCTGACAAAATCTTTTGAGTAGCATTCTGAATAAGACATTTACCTCTTTCTTTTGGTCACCTTGTTTTGTTGTAAGTCTTCTCAAAATACTAGTAAGATAAAAAAGAACTTTTCATTGTGTGTAGACAGCTACTGAAATAGAAGTAGGAGTAATTTGTCTATTGCACCATGCTCAAAATTTTCACGTATATGATAAGTAGCGTGACTAAGCTATGCTTGCTTTGTTCATCGCTATTTATGGTATCAAGCTAGTCATATCGCGTGCTTTGGATAATTTCGCTTTCCAAAGGAAACTGTGTTGTGATAATGCTGTTAAATCCCTGTGGTCTATCCAAGACTTAAGCGAATGATAATTATAACTCCTGCTAGAAAAAAATTTTTAAGATTCCTTTTGAATGAGAACACTATGTATACAAAGTAATCCTAATCACATTATTCCAAACAATAATAATTATACAGAATGGATTTTTCAGTGTTTTCAATAGATACTGCAACAATTCGCCTCTTTTTATAAATATGAACATATTTAAAATTAAAAATAGTAATAAGAGAACCACTAATAACTGATGCATGGCGGAAACGTAATCAGTTGTAAATAAATAGTGCATGTGATCATAATCTCCCCTCATAACTTGCAGTTCAGTTGCTCATTTTAAATGTCTAGAAGTTCCTTCCTGACATCTGTATCTTCACACAGAATCCCTGCTAAACATGATCTGATAGAACTTCTATATTCAGTTGTATGAACGCATATTCTTATGAAGTTTCTTCTGGTTTCACTCAAAGATATACAGGGTAAGAGGTGAGAATCAGTGTAGAGGATGTTCGGTATAAGACAAGGTGACATTTTACTCAAATTCTTGCGAGAACTGTAGTGCCTACGAACCACAACAATGTCAGTTGGCTAAGTCGAAGCCACACCTCTCACCATAATTACACCCTTCATTGTTCTACCTTAAATGATACTGTCTGTTTCGAGAAGCGCAGATAAGAATTAGGGTGAAGAATAAGCAATAATACGGAGAATACATGAATCAGTGGATTGTAAAAGAAGGGGACAGGCTTTCCTAGAAAGCTGTACAAGAGTATATATGTGGTTTGTAAGAAATCACATCTCGTGAGGAAATCTAAACAGTGTGAATATACAAAATTACAGTGGAATGAATTACAACTAAAATGTTTATGATCGTAATCATAGTTAGATATCAAGTGCTCAAACAAACGATGTAATAGGCAGAATAGTGCATGAGATGTACAGATGTTGGAAAGGAGTCTCAACATCTTTATATAATAAGTTAAGCGAAAAAGTTAACATACATCAATGGAAGTGATCTGAACATGGGATACATGACATTTTAGCCAACTGATTGCAAGAATTCAAGTGCCTATTAAAAATAACAATGTCAGTTAGCTATATGAAAGACACAACAGTAGCCCTACTTACAGCCCTCAGTGTTGTACTGAATATGCTATATATATTATGGTTTACTTTAGTTCCTACAGGAACGGAGGGCTTCAACCTCACGTCTCAATTCAGTTGAATTCTCTGTCAACATTCTCATCTGACTCCACATCTGCCGACATGCTCTCATCTCCTCTTCACATGACCTCTTCCATGTGACCCTCACACTGACGACCAACTCACAGCTTCCCATTCGGGTTCCACTAGAGTGATGGCCTAGCGTGCGATGAATGTCACTTGATGATGGTTTGTTCTCTCACAGTTTGGCCAGTCCACCCCCGTTTCTTCCTGCAGATTTGTTGCACAAATGGTTCCTGGTTGGTTCGCTCACACAGATCTCTGTTGCTGATCTTTTCTCGCTATTTCGTCCTGAGTACTGAGCGAAGACAGTTATTGATGAACGTCTGTAGTTTGTTCGAAGTGCTGTTCATGACGCGCGAAGTCTCCGATCCATAAAGTAGCACTGACTTTACATTGGATTTGAAAATCCGGATCTCTACTTTCATGCTGAATGCTGTTGATCTCCACAGAGATTTGATAGCATTGAAAGCTTGCCTTTGCTTTCCTGATCCTTGCCCTGATATCTTCATCAGTAACGTCGGTCTGCAGTTGAAATGACACTTCTTAGGTAGGTAGGTAAAGCAGGTTGTTTCTTTCAGATTCCTCCTTTTTATGCTCATTGTTGTCTGTTGCTGTTGCTGTTGACCAGGAATCTTCACCACCTCTGTTTTCTATATGTTCACCTGAAGGCTTATCTTTGATGCTTCTTCTATCACCAACCGGTTGTTTTTCTCTTGCATATCTTCCAGTCTGTGGGAAATCAGACACAAATATCATCGGCGAAGTTCATACCCTCTACGTTTTTTGTGTAGGTTCATTTTATTCCTGGGCCTTCGCTGCTCGCCGCTGTCTGTCACATTTTTCAGTCTACTGCAATCAGGAAAATCATTGGAGATAGGAGGCAGTCAGCCAGCCTTGTCTTAATCACGTCTTCACTTCTTCGAAGGATTCCGTGGTACATATATATATATATTGCATTAGCTGATAACCTTCAGTTAGTACAAACGTCATAATTCCACCTTATAGTCTAACACTTGTCAAATACTGTTGTATAAAATAAAACAATAGTAGAAGCATCTAAAAACACTCTCAATAATCTATTGTTTTTGTAACAAATTTCAAAAGGATAACCTCATATATATATGTATATACATATCGTTTAAACAGCGATAAGTATATCTTCACTGACCTTCGATGCTTGCTGAGTAAGTTTTTCAATGATCCATATCAGATTTATTTTTTCTCCCGGTCAAGTATGGATTTAACTGAGGTGAAAACAAACAATTCTGTTACTTTTTTCCCACCTAACCGACTCATAAT